CTTCTCTTTAGCCTGCAAACTGATTACAAATTCAACTCATTGGACAAAAGCAACTAACCTATTTGCGCGTCTGTGGTCTTGCTCAACTCCCAGTTTTCTCCTGCTCAACTTAAAAAGCCTTTCAAATATTCACACCAATCTGCGAGTGCCTGGACCACCTCCTGGTGCACCGTAAGCACGTGAAACAACCTGGAAAGAAGCACAAAGTGAAAACCTTTTACATTTCTTCAAGGTCAGACTGTGTGATGAGTCATCCTCTGTACACTGTTCTCAGTCAAGGCACTGTTCAATCATCCTCTGGGCTTTTAGAAGGGAGAAAGAAGCAAAGATTTACGTACTTTTAAAAATGTAAAAATGTAACCAATTCTTTTGGTTATTTTTAGCCCATATCAATCCATAGATATTGGAAGACTATGAGAAAATGAAATAATTTCTTGCTTTAATAAGTTCAAAGGGAACTAAAGGGATACATCCCCTTTTCAAACTATTAGAATAAGTTATGTTTCAGTAACAGTAAAAGCTTTATATATTGGAGGTTTTGTCTGAAATCACAATTATTTTCTATGGAAAAATAGAAAGAATTATCATAATCTTATTAGCTAGAACCACCAAAAATGCTGTAATATATTGGCTGTGCATAGAAAAATGGTGTTCATTTAAAAAAATAAATTTAGTCCCTTTTGATAACAGAAAAAATGTGTTCTCTGTGATTACTTCTGGTGTGGTCCTGTAAATTAATAGAGGAATATGATGTCTCTTCAATTCTCCTCAGCTGGAAAAAATACAGAAAAAAAAAAATTAAGCAAATCTGCTTTTAAATGCACAAGAGGAAAAGACGTACCAAAGGGGCTTTTAAGGTATGGCATGGGTTTTTTACACGCAAATTTAAATGTCATTCTGGCTGTGCATCCTGGAATAAAGACAGGGCTCCAAACTGTCTTTTTCAACTCATCAGATCTTTGATGAAAACCTTTGAAAACTAAGAACTTATTTGACTCCTTCTTAAAGTGCTCATTAGCCTGATTTAGAAATACCAGCAACTAATGACGTCTGGGGAAAATATGTGCCTGTATCTCTACAAAAACATCAGCTTTTGCTGCTCAGTGACATTTTCTGCTATGAATTTTTGTTATTACTGAGTGGCATGCAATATTCAGAAGTTCATTTGATTCCCATTTCAAAGGGCTCTTTTCAGACCCAGTTGCAGAATTCTCTTTGATTTGGAAGCTCAGTAACTGTTGAACTTTGACATTTGTACAGACAGCATTTGCATGGAGGAAAAAATACCTTCTGCTCCCTTACAGAAAAGCACGAAAAAAACCCCAATCTTAAATGCCTCTTGTATATCAAGATCAACTATGCAAAACATTAGGTGTAAAATTTTAAAAACCTGTGGAAAATGAAACAGAAAGGGAATATGGCTGGAATAGAACTAATTTCTTCTTCAAGTGTCCAGACGAGGATCTTCTGAAGAAACAATGGCCAATGACTTGAATTAACTCTGGGGTTATAATATTCAAAAATTAGCAGATCATCCAAATACTCAAATCTTGGTGTGTTAACTCGTGTTGAAAAAATAGCAACACCCTCTTCTTTTGTAAGGGCAGTGTATCAGATGGAGGATGACTGATACAGGACTCAAGATGTGACCTTTCAGGTTTTACTCCCTTTGAATCATTTCCTCTTGTAATCAGTATATACAAGATTATGTCACAAAGTCTATGGACTATCAACAGTACAAAGGACAGAGAAGAGAGAAATTGCAGATTACAAATATGTGGCTGCAAGAGGAACACAAAAGAGACAAAAAGGTGAGAAAATGGTATCTGAAAAAGATGACAGTATGTAACAAACTCTTTTTGCCATTCAAACCAATAATTATCTTCAATAAAATATAAGCCTTGGCATGACACTTCAGGATCTGTGTTGATTGTGATGACTGGAATGAAATCTATCACTTTGCTAAAGTTCACTCAATATGTACCAATAACCAACTCATTTTATAGATAATTTTTAAATGAAATCATAAGAGCTGCTGTGCTTGACAGTCAACATCACCTACTGCATCGATGGCAACATCCACTCATTTTTCTTCAATTCAGACTTGTGAAAGTATTTGAAGTGCTCCATGCATTGTTTTTCTATGAAATTCCTAAGTGATAGTGGTGAGGAATTTCATAAATTGTGAATTTTCTGTCATTCATATACCACATGGACAAATCTTAGTACTGAGTCTATGCTACTTTCTGTGGCTGTTGGCAGTACCAGCAAATCAGTAGCCTTATAATTTTTTATACCTTGTCCCTTTGTACATAAAATTGTTCTAATTTTCTTGAAGCATAAGTTGTGAATGAGCGACAAAGCCAACAAGTGTGCAGTACTGGACACATATTTATTTTCTCTCATATTTGAAAGTAATTTCATATTTGAGGATGTAGCTATTAGATCTCAGCACTTCTTAATATAAAAATACAATTAAGAGAATACTTATCAGCTATTATGTACCTTTCATAAAATGGAGATACATTTAGCAAATAATAGTCCTATATAGATTATTTTTCAGTTTTCATCTTAACAAGAACAATAAAAGACATAAAACAATTTTGCTCTGAAATCAAGGATGAAGAAATGTGTGGGGGAACCTGACCCTTCACATTCTTTTTTCACCAACCACTCAGTGATTTAATCTATATAATCTCTTTTGTCATCATACAGAGACTTCACATTTTTTTCCTGTAAGGTATCATGGTCAGAAGGAAAAGTGAATGAGGACAGTAAACTTTCTGGTGGTAAGACTAAATGATCTTAATAGACTTGCCACGTAATGACTAATGACACCTAATTTTATTTTTTTTTTTTTTATTAGCACATTAGCATTTGAATCAGAATCTACCCTTAACCTTCATCTTTTGAGCAACTAAATTTAAGAGACTGACATTTTGGTTAAGTTTTCTGTATGTGATACATTGTTTTTCAAACAAACAGAATGCAAAGTTGCTTCCCCAAAATTTTCTAAATATGTGCAACAACTCAACAAAAACTATTTTCGAGCAGATGTAAGATATAATCTAAGGTATCTGAAGTATGAAAAATTATGCAAAATAAGAAAAAGCAATTATGGTTCCCAATTTGCTAATCAAAAGTAAAATGCTCAGAGTGCATATATTTAACCATGCAGCTGTCTGAAAAGCACCTGCCTTAGGTACAGCAATTCACCAACTTTGAATCTTCAAAATCCAGAAAAACAAAACTTTAAAAACAAATCATTATATCATTCTAAAAATACTATGCTTTTAAAAAGTATTTTGGCACCAGTCTTCTTTCACTGTGTTTTTTGAGCACTAATTTAAAGCAGGGCAAGACTTTTACTTTATCATTCATCTGAGAAGCTGGATATTTAAAAAATCATGAAGGATGATGCACTTGTCTAAACTCTGGATGCTGACATGTAAAGCCCCACATCTGAGGTATCTATTCTGCATTTTGCTAGAAGTCCTTTACGCAATCAACAGAAAGAAATAGGCATTGTGAGCGTGCCAGACACTCAAACTACCCTCAACTCATAAAGCACATATTTTCTGCTCAGTATTGTCAAGGGAAAATAATGGCATCTCAAATGTAAGTATTTTAAAATAAATTAGATGAATCTCACTTCATGTGTCCACAACATGTAATCACTCACCTTTCAGTACTGTAAGAACTGGAAACCCCACAGAAGTCTGAATTTCTTACTCTCTGTATGCTTTTATTCTGATTGGTTTTGTACCATTTCCAAAAGCACAATCTGCTTTTTTTTTTTTACAGTAAGTAGGAATATTTTTCCCCCACCATCTTTCGTCACATCAGGCCACTGCATTTTTTTTTTGAGGTCTGTTTAAAAACAGAAATTCAAGACAGAGTCACTCTGTCTCAAATTAAAACAGGAACAGAAATTCATAGGAACAACTAGGCTGTGTACATGTATCAAAAACACAATATTTGACAAACAGGAGGAATTAGACGTTCATGCATTGTTGCAGAGCTGAAATGTAATGGGATTATTATGGAAACACAGCAGAATTGTTCACAGGAATGGAGCACTGCAATGGATAGGCACAGACCTTCCAGGAAAGACAGAAAGAGGGGGATAATGTGCTCTATGCAGATGACTCTTCACCACAGTCATCTATAGTCAAGAGGGAAAAGGTTGGCTGAAAGCACAGGCTGAGGGTCTAAGGAAGCCCAAAAAGAATGGACATGCTGAAGGATTGCTCCTACAGGAAACTCAGCCAGGAAGAGAAAAGGAAAAATTAAGCTTCTTTAAGGCACAGTTACAGACCTTGGTTCTCATGGAGGAATTTAACACCTCAGCATCATCTGGAAAGGCAATGAAGCATAACCAATATTCCAAATTTCTAGGGTGTGTTGGGAGACATCTTGCTGCAGCTATTAGAGAAGCTGCTCTGCAGAATCTGCTACTCATAAATAAGCAAGCAGACAGTCACAGTGTCAGGCTTGCCTGTAATGAACATGAGATAGTAAAGTTTAAAAATATTAGACAAGTAGCAAAATAAAGAGTTTGGTTTTGCAGATGTCAGACTTTGGCTCGTTCAGTGATCTGCTTCAGAGGGATGTATTGTAGGGCAAGTGGCCAGCAGAGCTGCTTGATTTAAAGCACATGAATAGTCCTTCTGATGTGCAAAAGAGTAAGCAGACATGGTTTGGCTAAACTTGAAACTGCTATCCAAGCTCAAATGCAAAAAAACCCCAAATCAACCAAAACAAAAAACCCAACCAACCAAACAAAAACCCTACACAAACAAACAAAACCCCACAAAACCCAAACTAAACCAAAAATCTCCAACCAAAACA